TCGCATACCCAATCAGTGAAGGGCCTTATTTTGTTTACATGTTTCTTCAGAAAATATGATTCTTTCAATGTTAAATGCAGCCACCCTTACACACTTATCCCAGTTAAGCACAAGAAATCTAAAGAGATACTGAGAAAGCAAGGAGACTGAGACAGAGGGTGGGAGAAGTACATTACTAACCAGTGCACTTTTAAAGTATTAAAGTGCCAAATAGTATTTCAGAAATGTTTATATACAAAAGTTCAAAAATACGCAGCTGAACACTATGTTTTGATGGTACCAACAGCCTCCTTGTGTTAAATTAGAACTGTGATTTGGACCGCAGTAATCCCAAGTGATACTGGCTGTTTTCTGTTGTCTCTTAGGCAACAAGTGCCTCTGCATTGAAACTCACTAATATCCTCAATTTTCAAAATAAGGAATGTGATTTAGGAATGACACACCTAACTCTAGAGGAGTCAGATTTCCTTCAGAAAGAATGTGAATATTTATTCAAAAACGATGAGATGTATCATGTAATGAGCTAATTGAAAATGAAACTGGAAATAAATTAAAGCAAACTTCATGTTTTAATCAGCTTGGGAGGTTTCAAGTATTGCAGCAATGAGGCAAGAGATTATCTTCTGGAAAATGTATAATGATGTCATTATTTTGGTGCTCCTTACTCCCCGGATGGAGAAATAGAAGAGAGAAAGATGTTTGCTATATTCCATAAATAGGTGGCGCTGTGGCTAATAACACATTGGAATTATACCAAAACCAGGTTTTTGTCCAAATGTTATTATTTTTAATTTAACTTTTTTCCAATACTAGGGACTGAACCCAGAGGCACTCTGCTACAGTGTTACACCTCCGGCCCTTTTTATTTTGAGATGCAGTCTAAGTTGCCCAAACAGGCCTTGAATTTGCAATCTTCTTGCCTAACCTCCAAAGTAGCTGGGATTACAGATGTGCCCAAGTTGCTAGACTCAAAACTGGGAGTATTACAAAATCCATGTCCAAAAAGTTTAAATGTCAGAATTAGAAAGTCAAAGAGATACTCCAAAAAAGTACCTGACTTGCCCAAAAAGTCAGGTAATTTCTATAGAATATATCCACTTATTTTATACTTGGCAAAAGAAGGTTTCAGGTTAATATAGTTGTCTCTTAGCATCCACATTAATCCCCCCACCAACAATACCAAATCCAAGCTGGGTATGGCAGTGCAGGCCTACAATCCCAGTGGCTCAGGAGGCTGAGGCAGGAGGATCGCAACTTCAAAGTCAGCCTTGGCAGAAGTGAGGTGCTAAGCAACTCAGTGAGACCCTCTAAGTAAAATACAAAGTAGGGCTGGGGATGTGACTCAGTGGTCAAGTGCCCTGAGTTCAATTCTCTGTACTCCTCCCCCCAAAAAAAATCAATACCAAATCCAGATTGCTCAAGTCCCCCATATAAAATGACTCAGGACCAAGGTTGTGGCTAGGGGCTGATAGTTTAGCTTAATAGCAGAGCTCGTGTTTAGCATGCACAAGGGCCTGAATTGGATTCTCAGCATCACAAAAAAAAATAAATAAATAAACAAACAGTAAAATGATGCATTACTTGAACAGAATCCACACACACCCTTGCATATACTTCAAATCAGCTTTAAATGACATAATAGTCAATACAAAGTAAATACTATATGCATAGTTAGTACATTATGTTATTTAGGGGATAATGACAAGAACAAAGTCTGTATGTGTTTGGTATGGACACAGTTTTTTTAAAAATTTTTAATCCTTAGTTTAATCTTCAGATATAGAACCTATTGTGAATATAGAGGGCCAACTATGATTTTAAGCATTGGCCATGTTTGTCACTGCCTTCTATCATTTAGGAATATCAAATATTAATGAAGCCTAGTGAATAAGCAACTATGCAACATAATTGAGAACCTAGGTGAAATCTTGGGTTGGTTACCTAAGAATAAGTGTCAGAATAATTCCACTTGGTAAGGAGGCATGGATAATTCCTTAATGCCTAGGAACAGTACCCTGGGTACTGTTCAAAAGTTCCAAGTCTAATTATCTGGCTCCTCCCCTTCCTGGCTGCTGTACCAATTACAGGTTACTTGGCTACTTAGTTCTCTGGGATACCCTTTTCTCCTCCTCTACATAAAAAGTCATTGTATCTGGTGTCCTAGAATCTTCCAAGCAACACAGGGAAATCTGTGAAGCTTGTCTTTAGATACCTACCCATCCTCCTAGTTATTAGCTCATATTTTTTCTACATTCAGTTTCCACATCAATAATGAGGCTCCATTAAGATGGGCTATGGAACCAGGAGTGGTGATGCACGCCTGTAATCCCAGCAGCTTGGGAGGCTGAGGCAGAAGGATCAAGACTTCAAAGCCAGAATCAGCAATGGTGAGATACTAAGCAACTCAGTGATATCCTGTCTCTAAATAAAATACAAAATAGGGCTGGGGATGTGGTTCGGTGGTCCTATGCTCCTGAGTTCAATCCTCAATACCAAAAAAAAAAAAAAAAAAAAAGGCTGTGGCTTTAGCTCACTAGTAGACCACATATTTAGCATGTCTGGACTCAAACCCCAACACACAAACACACATGCATATGCGCATGCACACACATACATACACACACACACACACACACACACACACACAACCTGCTCTTAGGAATGCTGAGAGGATTAACTGCAGATTGCTTATAGGAGTATAGCACAATGGATGCCACTTAGTAAGTATTAAAAAATGGTTACTGCCCCTCCCTTCCTCATCTCACCAACTAGACAAGTGAGTGCCAATTATGTAGCAATAGCAAGCAAACCTCAGACAAAATGTTTTTATTCTTTTTTTAAAAAACCACTGAGCCACATCCCCACTCCTTTTTATATTTTATTTTGAGAGAGGGTCCCAGTAAGAGCCTTGCTAAATTGCCGAGACTGGCTTTGAGCTTGCGATGCTGATGCTGCAGCCTTCTGAGCCACTGGGATTACAGGCATGCGTCACCATGCCTGGCTTTGGATACTTTCCTAAAGGAGGCCTTTGAGCTGGGTGCAGTGGCATACATCTGTAATCCCAGCAATCTGGAAAGCCAAGGCAGAAGGATGGCAAGTTTGAGGCCAGCCTTGGCAACTTAGTGAGGCTCTAAGCAACTCAGCAAAACCCTGTCCCAAGATAAAAAAAAAAAAATAAGAAAGGTGTGGGGATGTAGCTCAGTGGTAAAGCACCCTGGTTCAAGCCCCAGTACCAAAAAGGGAAAGAAAGAAAAAAGTTTTCAACAAGACAACCTACACAGGGATTTACCAGTTCCTGAACCAGTCTCCCCAAGTGAGGCAGAAAATGGTGGGCTTTCAGGCAGTGCCCAGCCCACAACAGGTAAACCACGAAATTTCTCCAGAGGGTCGGCTACCTGGTCCAGAATGCAGCTTAAACTTCACATGTTTACAGTTTCTAGGAGTTTTCCATTACAGATCCAATTAATATTGAGAAGTACCCAAGCTGCGATTATAGTTATTTACTCAGTAAAACATATAACAGAAGTTTTAGGGACCATGTGGGAGCTGATGGAGTGAGCGGCTTAACTTTGTAAAAGAAAACTACTGGCCTTACTGACCAGCAAGAAGACCCACTTCTGGCTAAAATGATGATAGCTGAGTCCCAGAGTAACTTTCAGGGAAGGATCCTTTCATCAGAACTAGCTAAGGAATAGGAGAAGGCACGCACACTATAGGCATTTTGAAATTTTCTGGGGAGAAAGTTGAATCATGTCTTTTATTTCTCTTTCCCTGTGCCACTTTTCACCTGGGGTACAGTTCCCTCCCTTCCCTGACTTCCTCTTGTGGTGGGCAAGTGAATCGGTAGATAATTATCTCAGGATAGGTCAGAGCGAATTGCCTTTAAGCCAAAAGTTACTTTCCAACTGCTGAGTTCTCCAGGAGCCACCGCGCCCCCCTCCCCACTAATACCGCCCTCACCCCCTTGACCACGCAGGACAGCAACCCTGTCAAGTCGTAGGAATCGCATCGCGTGGAAACTCGGTCACCACGGTCATAGATGGCATTTCCACCCAGCCACGGACCGCGCAGGGACTGAAACGTGTTATCCTAGCACAAAATCGGGAACTCCAGTCTTGGCTAAACACCACGCCGGCCCAGTCTAAATGACTCCCTTTGATGCCGCCGCTGTAATTATTCATCTCTCTTATAAATCAAGATTCCACTGACAAATCTCCGTGCGTCCACTAAACAGAGGCTGCCCTGCAAAACCCTTCTAGTGATTCTTTTTTAAAGTACGATACCATCTGACATTTCCATAAACGGGCCTGCAGAGTATACCTCCAGGGGTGGGGGGGGCGATTAACGGGACGGTTTGTGTCACCCCTTGAGCCCACGTGGGCACACCAACCCCACAGGCGGACACATGGAAGGGACGCGGAACGGAGTGCAGTTATTTTCCAGTCAGTGCATCTGATGGAGAAAGATGCCAAATGCACTTCCCCAGCCAGCTGAACTCCGCGGGCACCTAATCATTGCCAGATGTGGGGAGGGCGCACGAGAACATCCCGAGTCCGGGAGAAAACACCCGGTCAGCCGCGCCGCGATCGCCGGGTGGAGAATCGGCAACCGGGGGAGAAAAGAGCAGCAGGGAGAGAGTGGTGAGTGCGGCAGAGCGGAAAACAGACTGGGAGGAATGATGATGCCTCACTCTCCTCCGCATATTTTTTCAATTAAAAAGTTGGAAACTAGAATCCGTAAACAACGACTTAGGGTTTCATACTACTTTGCAAAGACGCGATGGGGAGGAGAGTACTTGAGAGCTTCAAAACCCCAACCTCGAGGTCTCCCGCTGTGTCCAGCAGTGGAGCCGGGGAGCGCCCCCAGTGTCTGCGCACCATCCCGGCGCCTGGGCTCCCCGGGACTGCAGCCTGCGTAAAAGTTTGAGCAAAAGGCACCTCCGCCGCCTTCCCGCTCGCCCGAAACCCTCCCGAGCTCTGTGAAATCGGCTGTAGCCCTACCTTTCATGGTGACCAAGGAAACGCACAGCCAGCCAAGGAGCTCCGCGCGAGCGCCGCGCCACTGAGAAAGTCGCGCTGAGCGTCTGGTCACTGCACGCCCATGGCAGCCGCGCTGCGCGCCAGCCCTCTGCGCTCCAGCCCTCCCAGCCTAAGCCGCTGCAGGCGCGCACTCCCCGCTCAGCGCTCTGCTACCGCGGGGCTGCCGCGCGCGCGCGCCGCTCACCCCGGGCGGGAGGCGCCGCTCCCGCCAGCGCCCCTCCCCCTGGCCCGGCCGGGGCGCGCCCACGCCCCTCTAGCTGCCTGCCGAGCCCGCCCCGCCCTCGGCCGCGGTCGCCCCTGCCCAGCACTTTCTCGCCGTGGCTCTCCCAAGCTCTCAAGCCCTCCCGGGTTCTTCCTTTCTCAACTTAGATCTCTATCCAGAAGAAAGCGCCTCCCAAGGAGGTCGAGGGTTCACCTCCGGGAACGCAAAAGGTGCTGCTGCTGCTGCGGATTCTAGAACCCAGACTGACTACCTACAGATGTTGTGGGGGAGAGAACTGGAGCACGCGGAGCACCGGCGTGGCAGGGCAAGACTGTCCCTTCCCCAAACATCTTGGGGGCATGAAGAATTAGGGAGCGTCCTCGGGATTCAAACTTTCTAAGTGCGTGCGCTTGTCAACTCAGTGTCACCCAAGGACAGCCGGAGTCACTAGGATCCCAAATCACCATTGGACGCTTTCCTTGCAGAACTCAGAGCAGAATTCCACTTTTTGGAGCTTACTGTAAAATAAATAAAACAAAACAAAACCATCCCCAACTTGGCTGGAAAATTACCCTCCTGCCCACCACCACTGAAATGATCAGGTTGACTCGTGTTTTATCCGGAAAGAAGGCTTGACTGTTGAAGGTTTAGTAGTTCCCTTCATTGTCGCCCGTCCCACTGTTAACTTAATTAAGAAAACCCGTATTTATCTTTCCTTGAAAAACTCCCTTAGCAAACTCTTCGGACTTTTTGGTTTTGTTTTTAGTTTGTGTACTGGAGATTGAACCCAAGGGCTCTTTACCCCTGAGCTACATCCCCAGTTCTTTTTATTTTGAGACAGGGGCTTGCTGAGTTGCCTGGAACTTGCCGTCTGCTTGCTTCAGCCTGAGTCGCAGGGGTTACAGGCGTGGGCTACACAGGCTCGTGGCTTTCTTACTTTAAACCATAAACTACGTGGTAAGTGGAGACGTGGGGAAGGAGGGGCAAAGGAACTTTCTTCAACCCTTCAACCGGTTGAAATGACACTTCGCCACTCTCTTAACAAACGCAATAGAATACTGGCTGGGCAATGATTACAGCGTTTTGGCTCACCCTCCTCCGAAGGACTTGGTAACTAAGTGTAACCAACCCATTAATTCATTCTAAATAGGGATTTTTTTTTCTTTTTGCTCTAGCAAAAGAGCAGTGTCCAGAAATTAATGCATTCTAAAATAAGACATAGATTCTTCCTTCCAGAACTTTAGATGGCATTGAAACTAGGGCTTTCCATATGCTAGGAAAGCACTCCAACACTCCATATACCTCCAGAATCCTTGTTTTGAACATAAGGGTGAAAGTTGGACATTTCTAGCAAAGAAAAAGAAAATTAGCACATCACCTCCCCACCCTCTGGGGTTTGTGGGATGTTTACTCTGGAAGAGTGTTTTAGATCTGAGCCAGGTACAGTTTAGGTTGCAGGGCAAGTGAGGGTCTGTGAGTGACACCAGGTTATGAATTGTCAGCCCAGAGTTTACAATCAATGTTGGGGTGGAGTAAGTACCTACTTCATGCAGTAGTTTCTCCTGCTATAAAATGGAGATAATCTTGGCTCCTATTTCAGAACTTGAATTGAAAAAAAAATTATTTCTGACCTAAATTATCAACATGACCCCAAAGCACAAGCAGCACAAGCACAAAATAAATTCTACTTCAGAGTTAAGAACTTTTTTTCCAAAAGTTGTGGGGAAAGGTGCAGCCAAGTGGTAGAGTACTTGCCTAGCATGCATGAGGTCCTGGGTTTGATCCCAAATTAAGAACTTTTGTGCATCCAAGGACACTATCAATAGAATAAAAAGTTATCCCATAGAATGGAAGAAATGTTTGTTCATATTTTTTTAGAACCAGGGATTGAATCAAGCAATGCTTTACTACTGCACTATTTTGAGATGGGATCTCACTACATTGCTTAGGTCCTCCCTAAATTGCTGAGGTTGGCCTTGCAATCCTCCTACCTCAGCCTCCTAAATCACTGGGATTACAGGTGTATGCTACCACTCCTAGATGGAAGGAAATATTTGCAAACCATACATTTGATAAAGGATTATTATCCAGAATATATAAAGAACACCTACAACTGAATGGCAGAAAACAAGCCAATTGCAGGAGACTTGAATATACATTTCTCCAAAGATTACATACAAATGATCAATAAATTTATGAAAGGATCCTCCCTATCACTAATCCTTAGAATACTAGTCAAAAACCTCAATGAACCAAGTGTGTGGTGATGCATGCCTGTAATCCCAGCTACTCAGGAGGCTCAGGCAGGAGAATCACAAGTTGAAGGCCAGTCTGAGCAAGTTAGCAAGACCCTGTCTCAAAATAAAAACTAGGACAGGGGTTGTAGCTCAATGGTAGAGCACTTGCCTAGCACGTGTGAGGCACTAGGTTCCATTTTCAATACCACATAAAAATAAAATAAAGGTATTGTGTCCATCCACAATTAAACATATAAAATAAATAAATAAAAACTAAAAAGGGCTGGAGATATAGCTCAGTGGTAGAGCACCCTAGGTCCAAACCCCAGTACTACACACACACACACACACACACACACACACACACACACACACATTGATATACAATGTCACACCCAATGGGATAGCTATTCTATATTTTAAAAACAAGCCCAAAACAAATACAAAAGACAAGAAAGAAGGAAAAAAATTAACTTTTAGAGAAGATATGAAAAACATTGGAACCTTTGTACGTTGCTGGGTGGGAATGTGAAATGGCATAGCCACTGTGGAAAATTTGGTAATTTCTCCAAAAGTTAAACACAGAATTACCTTATGAGCCCACAATTCCACTTCTGTCTATATTCCCCAAAGAACTAAGAGCAGAGACACAAAGAGATAGCTGTCCACCCATGTTCATTATTACTCACAACAGCCAAAAGGTAGAGCTCCAGAGGGTTCATCCACAAATGAATAAACTGTAACATATACATAATAGTGAAATACTATTCAACTTCAAAAACATGGGCAATTTTGGCACATGGTGCATCGTGGATAAACCTTAATGGCATTATGCTAAATGAAATAAGTCAGTTGCAAAAGGACAAATATGGGACTCCGCTTACATGAGGTACTTACAGTAGTCAAATTCATGAAGACAGAAAGTAGAACGGTGGTTAGCAGGTGCTGAGGAGAATGGGGAGCTCTTTAATGTGTGAAGTTTCTATTTGGCAGATTGAAAAGAGTTCTGGGAGGTGGGTGTGTGTGGGGGTGATGGTTGCACAATGATGAGAAATATTAATGAATGACACTGAACTGTAGACTGGTAATGGTTAAAATGGTAAATTTTATTTTTATTTTACCATCCTAAAAAATTTTGTAACAGGAGAATTACAAGTAAGTACAGAACAATTAATAAAAACCCTGAACTTATGATATTACCTGTGATCATGGGTCAGATCCACAGACCTGTTGAGGAGAACAGGCTCAGCAACTCTTTCAAAGAAAATTTTAAGAAGTCCTGGTGGATCACCTTTCCCATCTCCATCACCTTCAACACAAATTGAATTGGGCCCCATAGTTGGGTCCCACAGGTCCTTGGCCCAGCACCTCTTCTGAACCCAACTCTGAGGGAAAACAAGGACTGAAGGCTGTGGTCATATGCAGATCATCAGCTGACCAAGGTTGCTCTGGTAAAGAGCTCTGAGAAGGATGGGGCATGGTGGCACAACTCGGAAAGCTGGGGTAGGAGGATTTGAAGTTAAGGCCAGCCTCAGCCACTTAGCAAGGCCCTGTACAACTTAGTGAGACCCTGTCCCAAACTAAAAAATAAAAGGACTGGGGATATAGTTCAGTGATTAAGTGCCCTTGGATTCAGTCTCCAGTACAAAAAGAAAAAAAAAAGAAAGGAAGAAAGGAAGGAAGGGAGGGAGGGAGGAAGGGAGGGAGGGAAGGAAATTAATTCTTGGGGAATTGAAGGTTGACCTGGGACTCAGGGAGATAGAAAGGGAAAGGAGAAGGCTGTGGTTGGAAAGGACAGAGGCATAAAACTGAAGATGCTTTGAACTCCACAGAGAAGATGAGTGGTGGAGTCTCCAGGTTGGTACATAAGCTTCCCCATTCCCCAAAGCAGCAGCCAGGCCCTTTACATTTATAGAACCTGCAGGAGTCAGCGTGTGCCCAATCCTCCTTCAAGCTATGATATAGTATCTCCTTTTTACTGCTGACAACCACCCTTGACTCCTTCGTTCCCCTCAATCCTACATTCTTACCTAGCTCTGCTTCTACCTGCAAAATGCACCTCAAACTTCTCCACTTCTCCGTCTCAACTGGATTCCTCATGTAAAGACCATCTCGCTCATCTGTACTATTGCAGTAGCCCTCTAAGTGGTCCCTCCATGTCTACCTCACCTCTCCTCTGTTCTAGAATCCAACACAAAGTAGCCAGACAGGTGAGAGATGGTAAACCAGGAGGCTGACCACTACTTGCTGCCTGGAGAGAGTCTACACTGATATGAAGAGGAACTCAGGCAGAGCCCAGTGGAAACTCTCAGTGAAGAAGTTGAACGTCTGGGCAGACCAAGGCAGGGCTAAATGCAGGAGAGAGAGCCACAGCTAACTGTGCTGCCAGCTGGGATCACTACACTATCTTGATCTCTGACCCTCTCTGTGCTTCCTTTCCAGCCAGCAATCAGAACATTCCAGCAAGTTACAGCCAGCACCCCCTCCCATTCTCCCACTCATCTCTCTCTCTCTCTCTCTCTCTCTCTCTCTCTCTCTCTCTCTCTCTCTCTCTCTTGTAGATGGACACAACACAATGCCTTTATTTTTATGTGGTGCTGAGGATCGAACCCTGTGTTAGGGGAGCGCTCTATCACTGAGCCACATCCCCAGCCCTCATTCTCTTTTCAATGCAGCATCTTTTGCTTCTTTTCAGCCAGACCATTTAGTATCTCCCCAAACATTCCCATATATAAAACTTCTG